CGGGCGTAGTTTTAATCTCTGAAAACTCTATTCTATCTAAATATAATTTAAAGCCCTTAATATGCACATTTATTATAGGTTTTTATGACTCTTTCTAGGTGATGAAACTCATGTCCACGGACTTGTTCACCCAAAGTCAGATCTGGAAAGATGAGCTGCGTCATCTGCGAGAACTGGTTGCCACGCTGGAGCGTCAGGGTTATACCCATTTGGACGCCTTCAAGCTGCACTGGGATCATCAGCTGTATAAGGTACTGGAATACCAGTATATCCTGGGTCTGTTGGACATGAACAACAAGCTGCCGGACATACATGTAAAGCTTCTGCTCCGCCAAAGGGAGCTCGTCTACAGTCCGCCGGAAGAGGAGTTACGCGATCAGTACTTTAGTCAGCTGAGACGCTTCATCGAGCGGCCGTGCAACTTCCATGGGCTATCCGAGCACAGCCAGGAGCTGTTCAAGTCCATGGTCAGTGTGAATCGTCACCACTTTGGACCGCTTTACCAGCAGGCAGGCGAGCTGTTCGATAAGCTGGAGGACTTTAAGACTATTTGGCTGCCCTGGATCGCCCTGGGATGTGTGGATGTGGAACAACTGTGCGGAATCCACCTGAACGAAGCTGGGGACTGGGATCGCAACTTCCGGGCCTGCAAGCACTTTAGCCAACAGCTGGCAAAGCTGCAGCAGGCCGAGGAATCCATCGATTGCATTGTGATTAATGTCCTGCCCCTTAGATCGGACATTGAGTACATTAGCCGGCGCTATTGGGAGGCTCTGGCCAATAGCCTGAGGACCGCCATCCTCACAGACATCGGGTTGATCCAGGAGTTCCTGCAGAGCGCTCTGCAGTTCCTCCAGAATGTGCCCATGGACGAGGGAAGCATCAGCCAGTCGGGGATGAAGTACGAAAAGATTATGAGCGAGATGCCGCAGGTGGCCAAGACCCTGGAGGCGGTGAGGGAGAAGGACGCCTGTCTGGCGGGTTGGTGCAAGGAGCGGGTTACCGCCCTCACAGCCATCCTGCAGCAGTGGGAGCAGCTCCAGCCGCTCCTTGAGAACCATGCGGTGATTCTGCAGCGTCAGGTGGACATGATCAAAAATCAGGCGGAGACCCAGTTGCAAAACCTCAAAAACGAGGCTGAGAAATTCCTGCTTCGATGGGAGTCAACCATATCAGAGCTGGAGGCCAACGAGAACGCCACCCTGGAGGTCTTTAAGGAACGCCGCCTTCACTGGCAGCAGTTGCAGGAGAAGAAGCAGCAATTGCTGGAGGAATGTTCCAAATTCAATATGGAATTCCCGCGCGAGATGCTGGTGCCTTTCACAGAAATCGAGGAGCAACTGGAGCAGCAGTCGAAGCAGTGGCAGGTCTACGATAGCTTCCTCACCGAACTGCAGCCCATTCTGCAGGAGGAGTGGGCCATCTACCGGCGACGTCCCTATCTACTCAACGAGTTCATAGCCCGGTGGGAGGGCTCCGTGCACGCCTCCATCGATCTGCCCTCGAAGAGGATCCGGCAGCAGGTGGAGCGCCTTCAGTCGGCGATGCCCATCCTCCAGCAGTTGCAGTCGGACTCTTTAAGCGAACGCCACTGGGCGAGGATCTTCCAGCTTCTGGGACAAGTTGATCCGAAGCCTCTGCATGCAATCCTACTGCAGGACATCCTGCAGGACCTAGATGCCCTGCAAACGGCTGGCCAGGAGATTGCCAATATAGTAAGACAGGCCTCCAGCGAGCAGATTGTGAGACAGGCTCTGGTCGAGCTGGATCAGTGGTCCGTTACGGCACAACTGAAGCTGATCGCTCGCACCGATGCCGCCGGGCAGAGTGTGTCCCTGATCAAGGACTACCAGGAGGTGCTCAACAAGATCGGCGACAATCAGTCTCTGTTGCAGTCCGCGAAGAACTCGGCGGCCTTCGACAGCTTCTCGGATCAGGCAGAGCTCTGGGAGAGTCGGCTCAACACGCTGGATGCACTGCTCAGCAGCTTAAATCACTCGCAGAGACGGTGGGTCCTAGCTATCTATATCTTAAACTATTATCTTTATTTACAATAATATATGCCAACAGCTGGGTATACCTAGAACCTGTCTTTGGCTCTGGTACCCTGCAGCAGGAGCAGGCTCTATTCAAACGAATCGATAAGGATTTTCGCTTTGTGATGCGTGAAATCGAGCTGGATCCACGTGTGACCTCGCTGACCAAGATAAACAACATCAGCACCATTGTCAGCTCCCTGGAGACACAGCTGGCCAGGTGCCAGCAGAACCTGATGAGCTACATAACCGTGAGTAAAGGCCACCCATCCAACTCCCTTTGAAAATATAAGCCCTTTTCGCAGGACAAGCGCAACTCCTTTCCCCGGTTCTACTTTCTGGGCGACGATGATCTGCTGGAGCTGCTTGGACAGGCCAGCAAGGATGCGGATGTCATACAGCGGCACATCCGTAAGCTCTTCCCTGGCTGCCACAGCCTCAGCATCCGGCCTAATCCCCGCACATCTCCGGATATCAATCAGTACAGCATCACCGCCGTGCACAGTGCCGAGGGGGATGAGCTTAAGCTAAGCCAGCCCGTCGAGATGAAAGGCAGCATTGAGGTAGGAACACTTTAAAAAATGTAGTTTGGCATCTTACAAATTATAAATTGTATTTATTATTTAAATTGGAAATCTTTAAATATTCATTTATTTCTTCCTTTTTCCACAGCTCTGGCTAAATCAACTGGTGACCGTGGTGCAGGACACCCTGCGTGACCAGATCTACGAGTGCTACTCCAGTACCAATGGCGCCAGTGATAACCTGGCTGAAAAGATCCTCCAAAGCTATGCCAGCCAGGTGCTGGCCGCATCCAGGGCCCTGCACTTCACCCGCCAGGCGGAGCAGGCCATTGGAGCCATGTCTTTGGGAAAACTGCAGCAACAACTGAAAGATGAAATCTCACATCTGGCCACCTTGAAACAGAGATCTCCCAATGGAACCCTGATCAGCGTTAAGCTGAGGGCCCTACTCCTGGACCTTGTACACTACTCCAGTGTGGTGGAACAGCTTCAGAAGCACAATGTCGTCCACACCAGCGACTGGCACTGGCTGTGTCAACTGAGATACTACCTGGGTAAGGCGGGAGCCAACAATCGACAAGTGTGCGTACGCATGGTTTATGCTGAATTTGAATACGCCTACGAGTTCCTCGGGCAGGCCAGCAAGCTGGTTCACACTCGCCTCACCCACCGGTGTTATCTCATCCTCACCCAGGCCATGCACATGGGTCTGGGGGTAATCCCTTCGGACCCGCCGGCACCGGCAAGACGGAGTGCGTTAAGGCTCTGGGAGCCATGCTGGGGCGCTTAGTGTTGGTTTTCAATTGCGATGAGGTGAGTGACGATGCACGGTTCAAAAAAAGGGCTACCGAATAGAACTTTTATTTGAAATTAAATTTAATATAATATAGTACAGAAGCCTAATGCATTTATGAGCATAACAGTTTATAATTTAAAGATACCTTTTTACCTCTGATAACTTTAATACTTTTTGTCAAGTGCATGGTAATCCCCAGCTATTCGTCATTATGCCTTGAAATGTTTGCAGAATGTGGACACCGAGTCGATGAGCCTCATCCTTACCGGGCTGGCCCGCTGCGGGGCCTGGGGCTGCTTTGATGAGTTCAACCGGCTCCAGGAGGCCACCCTCTCGTCCATCTCCATGCTGATCCAGCCCATCCAGAGCGCACTGAAGGAGCGGGCCAGCAGCGTACAGATTGGCGAGCGACAGGTGAGCAGGATGAGTTATGAAATGGATTCAAAATGAAATTGTAGCAGCAAAGAATAATGGTTTATGGTAGCTTTCCAAATGAAAAATTTATGATTTAAGAGGGATTTTTTTGGATGAAGGAGTTCTTATTTAGGAGTTAGCTTTAAATATCTTTAATAACATTACTCAAGAATCCATAAACTTGAGCTTTGAGGCTTGAATTAATACCCAGAACATCAAGATAAAAATCGAAATAAATACGTTCCCTTACCAGGTCCAACTGAACCAGCACTGTGGCATCTTTGTGACCCTAAATCCGGCTGGAGCTGAGTACGGTGGCCGTCAGAAGCTGCCCGGGAACATCCAAGCTCTCTTCCGCCCCATTGTGATGCAGCAGCCAGAGCCTGGAGAAATCGCCCGGGTAATGCTGTTTGTCGAGGGCTTCGCCGAGGCATCCGCCATTGCATCCCGCATCGTGGAGCTCTTCGATTTGTGCGGCAAGATGCTTTCGGCCCAGCGGCACTACGATTGGGGACTCCGGGAGCTCAAGACCGTGCTCCTCGTATGCGGCGAGGCTTTGAGGAGGGGTCAATTAGCATCCTCCTCCGCCTCCGAGGAGATGTCCGTGGTGGTGCGTTGTTTGCGTTCATCCACCATGTCCAAGCTGGCCCCTCAGGATGTGTCACGATTTGAGATGCTGCTCCGGAATGTATTCCCCGAGATTGACAGCTCGCCGGCACTGGAAACCCTACTCCATCAATCGCTGACCTCGGCTTTTGGCCACCTGGGACTGTGTCGAAGTGAAAGGCAAATTGAAAAGGCTCTCCAGTTGCATGAGCAGCTCCAGAAGCGAATGGGAGTGGTCCTAGTTGGTCCGCCAGGATGTGGCAAGTCCACTATTATGGCCCTGCTTAGACAAGCTCTTTGTGGCTCCCAGCTTCGAGTGCACACCATCAGTCCGAAGTCCATGAGTCGGATTCAGCTGCTGGGTCGCCTGGATGCAGATACTCGGCAGTGGCAGGATGGCGTACTCACCCACACGGCAGTGGCAGTGAATCAGGAGCCTGCCCAGGTTCATTCGTGGATCGTCTGCGATGGCAGCATCGATCCGGAGTGGATAGAGGCACTTAACTCGGTTCTGGATGATAACAAGTGAGTAATTTTTAATTATCTATTTATATTTATCTGATATATCTATAGTCCTCCTTGAAACCCAAAAACACACCCCATTAATACAACTAAAATGCATGTTTTAGCAAAACTCGCTTTTGCTGCTTATATTTCGCTCGTATTTTTCTTTTGCGCATAAATTCGTAATAATTATCTTTTTTTTGCGGCTGGCCATACTCTATGTATATGAATCATATCATATAGGTATACAGTTATCGTTAGTTATATTGTAGATCGTATCTTCCTAAACTTGCCAATATCGTATCGTCTATCACTTAGCGACTAAACAAAAATACATACGTACGTACAGACCTAAAAAACAGAGACAAATGCTGGAAACTAATGACGGGGAAGCCCATTAATTAATAAACTAACGTAATGCGTAACGCTTTACGGATCGTAATACGTAACGGCATTTTAAAAATGGCGTCTACTTAACATACACAGAAATGAACATGGGTGTGAGTGTGAGTGTGGAGGAAAAGAAGTTGTGAATGCGAGATAGTCCTTCGAGTTGTGATTGCCAAGGGATATAAAGAACAGCAAACAAATTTGATCAAAATATTGATGTGTATCGGAAGGAAAAATCCGATTGATTTGTCGACAAAAATACTGTAATATTATTAAAATTTTAAATATACAAAAATTACATTTAATCTTAAAAAATTGCTCTAGTATCGACATTAACATTTTCTGTCTTGATCAGTTCGAAAAAAATCGAATACTTAAAAATTATTTAATGTTATGAAAGGTTTAAAAGTTCAGAAAGTTCGATTTCTGTTGAAATTACAAATTGATTTCATGTTATTAAACACCATTAGCAGCACAAAGTATTCTCTTCTTTATGCTTACAATTGGCCATAGGGAATTTATCACAAGATCTTAACAATAAAACATTTTATTTATAACTTTGAGACTCATGTTTGAAAGAATTATTTCTTCTTTAGAAATACTAAATTAGTTTCATTATTTATGTGTGAAAAAATGTTTTAAAAAGATTTTTGGCCAAGTTAATTAGGAAAAGAACATGGTTTAGTAGCATAGTTTGTGCTCGCAGGCTGGCAATTTAATACATTTGGAGAAAAATCACATAACTTACGAAGATCACAACTCCAGGCTTCAAGCATTCGGATGTACTTAGCTGGCTAGAGAGAGAGTTGAGCTTAGGACTAAAGGCGAGTGTAAACCTCACTGCGGCGCATGTTGCTGCTGCAGTTGTTGTGGCGTCGCAGCCGGTTGCTGCTGCTGTTGCTGGTGCGTGGCAGGTGGCGGGGGCGGCAGCGGTGGCAGTGCCAGCGAGGGAGGCGGTGGTGGCGGCGGCAGCACCGTGGAACGCATGTGCTGCATGTGCGCCTGTGGAGCCATGTGCTGGAACATGCTGCAGTGCTGCTGCTGCTGCTGTTGCTGGAGATGATGTTGCTGCTGCTGCTGCTGTTGCTGTTGCTGCTGCTGCTGATGGGCGCTAAAGTGATGCTGCTGCTGCGACGCTGCTGGCTGAGTGGTATTCACATCGGGAGCCGTATGGAGTATGATCTCCGGCTCGAGGTTCAGGGCCATTTCTGCATCCTCCTGTTGCTGGGGATTTCTTAGCGAGGCCAAAGCTGCCGCCTGGGCCGCGGCCATTGCAGAGGCGGACACATCCTGGCCGTACTCCTGCTTGATGCCGTTAGGCGGACCCGCATAAAGGGTGGCAGCACTGAGGTTCTGATGCAGGATGGGATGGCAAAGCTGGGGCATCAGCGCCACACCTGCAATGGGCAAACCGGGGTGACCGAAGCTTCGGGGCGGGTACAATTGCTGCAGCTTGTTTAGCTGCTGCAGGTGCGTGGCATGAGCAGGCGGCGTGGCCAGTTGGGTTAACGTGCTGGTGGTCATGGCGCGGTTGCGCTGATGCGCCAGCTGGTGGCTCAGCTGCTGTTGCTGCTGCTCCTGGAGGTGCGTGGGCGGTGGCTGGTGCTGCTGCAGTGGCGTCGATTGCTGCTGCTGCTGTTGCAATTGTTGCTGCTGCTGCTGTTGCTGGGGCGCTGACTGCTGCGGTGGCGGTGGCGGCAGACCCACCTCTGGCTTCACATTCACAGGCACTGGCGGTATCATGTTCGCAAACTCCGGCGGCAGCTGCAGTGGATCAGAGACCAGCAGCCCCTTTTTCCGATCCTTCCGGATCTTGTCCCGCAGCTTCTCCAGCTGCCTGAAGGCCTCGTTGGCCCGTCGGGCCTTCTTTCTGTCCCTATCACGTTCCTGCTCCAGTCGCCTGTACTCCGGATTCATGCGCTTGATCCGCTTCCTCTCCCGATCCCGCTCCCGTTGGATCATCTTCAGTCTCAGCTCCTCCTCTGGCGTCAACTGCTAGCGGATACGGAAGATAGAGAAAGAAGGTGGAGATCATATTAAAGCACTTTGTTCCGAGCCACAGAAACTGTGGGAGTTTGTCGCAAGGTTCAGAGAGTGTCAACTGTCCCGGGATTTCCTGTTCTGCTACTACTATTACACCCCAACCCCCCCTTGTTCCTCCTCCTAAGCCTAAGCCATGGGTGTGTGCGTGTGCTGTGTGTGTGTCGTGTATGTTTCGGGAGTTCGAGAGTGTGTGCGATGTAATTATAAAGAATATATATTGGAAAAATGCTACGTTAGCACGTCGTGCCTTCTTGCGGAATCGATCGCGCTCGCGCTCCATTCGCCGGTATTCGGGATTCAAGCGCTTGATCCGCTTCCGCTCGCGATCCCGCTCCCGCATGATGAACTTGTGGCGCGCCTCCTCCTCGGGTGTCATCAGCTGAAATGACACAGAGAGAGTGGTTTTTGGTTTGGGTTGCAAACGGCAGTCGGTTGGGTTCTTGGGTCTTGTTGTCTCGATCTCAAGCTAGTGTGTGGCTAAACGTGGTCTTAAATGATAAATGGCCATGTTCCTGCATCTTGTCTTGAAACTGTTACGGGTCCAAAGGAATTATAAAAGCAAGAAATTCTCAAATCTAATATTATTTTTAAAATATCGTATTATTTTCTAGACTGTTGACTCTACCCTCCGGCTGGCGTATACAATTCGGAAGCAATGTCAATTTCATTTTCGAAACGGATGATGTGAGACATGCCTCTCCAGCCACCATATCCCGCATGGGCATTGTCAACATGAGGTGGGTAAATTTTATAATTATTAAGACACATTTAATGATATTGCCTCCAAAAGCTATGACTGCTATCCCGCTGAGGAAATACTCAAGCATGAACTGTCCAAGGAACCCTATGGAGACTTGCTACAGAATTATGTAGATGGCAATTTTCGATATGCTGCGGATTGGCTGGAGAACCAGCAGTTGTTAAGGTAAATTTATAAATATTTATTATTAATAATTTTTAAAATAGGTTATATTAAAACAGTCATCTGCCTGGTATTACTCGTGCCCACCTACTCCGCTCTCTGTTGTTGCAACTCCATAATGCCCAATCTCTGGAGGAGTATGGAGCAGCCACTCTGCGGGCTCTCTTTGGCTTTATGCCCAGCGAACGTCAGCGGGAATTCGCCCAAATGATCCTAAAACACGCCAATCTCTATATAGGGAATACCAACTACGCAGAACTCACGTATTATGATAACCGAAGGAATTCCCTGGAACAGTATCCAGTGGATGCCATGGAGACGCCCGAAAAGGGCTCGCAACTCATTGTCACAGCTTATGTGAGATCCTATCTGGACATTTTGGAAAGCCTGCTCGGAGCTCAAGGCAACAAAATCTCACCCTTTATGCTCATCGGTCCCAGTGGAGCGGGGAAAACTCTGCTCCTCCAGCGAGCTGTTTTAGAAAACTCCGGTTACCAGTTGGTGACCATCAATTGCTCGAATCAACTGACACCAAGCTACATACTCCACACTCTGCGGACGCACTGCGTCACAGTGAGCGGCGTTAAGGGACGAGAGTACCGACCGAAGCTGGCCAGGCTAGTGCTTTTCATGAAGAACCTAGATCTCTGCCAGCTGGACTCCTGGGGAGCCTGCGAGGTGGTGGAGCTACTCCTCCAACTGGCCCAAAGGGGTGGCTTTTATGCCGAGAATCTGGAATGGATTGGCGTGAGCGGCTTGCAAATCTGCGCCTCCATTAGCGGCAGTGCTATGAAAATTGCACCTCGCTACTTTGCCATCAATCAGTTCGTGCGCGTTTCCCGACCCAGCAGCCAGGATATGCTGGAAATCGTTCAGCGCCGATTGGAACCTCTTCTGGGAGAGCATTTTAGAGGACGGGCAGGAGGTGGAGTCAATTTGCAGCACGTCAGCGAATCACTGATGGAGTGCTTCGAGAAGGTTTGTTGAGTGGAGAGGTCCGAGAATCTGCTAATTGACTTTGCCCCATTTTTAGCTGCAGGCAACCTTTACCGCCACCGGAGCCAGGCAGGCGCACTATCAGTTCAGCCCGAAATGCATCATGAAGCTTCTGGATGGCCTCGTCTTCTATCCCGCCAGCGATTTCAATGAGGTGGGTTTTCGAGCACTGAGGGAAAAAGTATGGAAAGTTATTGCAAAAGTCCTGAGAAGATTTCTAAATAATGGTTCTACTTTATAAAAGTTAACGAGTAATGGAAACTTTCTAAGCTAAACTCGTAAAAATTTAAATATTCCTATAGATTATTTTTCTCAGTTTATGCGTAATCAGTTTACGAATTTGCATTCCCTTTCAGGCCCTCTACTGTGAGCTGTTGGGCATGTTCAAGGATAGACTGATTAGTGAGGAGCATGTCCAGCAATTCGAATCAATACTCAAGCAGACGATGCGCAAATACTACGGCAAGGAGGTAAGTTCGAATTGTGTGGTATTTCTTGTTGAGATTTTTCTGAATATATAAGTTTTCCTTTCAGAAAGTATTTTTTGTGCCCAAATCACCAAATCGCGGGGTCAGCTTTACTGCTTGAGCCATGATGAGTGGCTAGAGGAGGTACAGAGACAAGTGACCATATGCAGTAAGTACTGAATTTTAGCTACAGGGTGACGGTAAATAACATAATATAGTGAATATATAAACTAAACTATTTCCCTTAAATAAATTAAATGACGTAGGCCCCACTTATGTTCCTAAAACTATATTTTTTGATAAAAAACTAGCTAGAAACTCTTGCTCATCTTTACTCTAAATACTCCTAATTATAGATTATTTAATTATAGTTGTTTCAAGTTCCTTTGCCAAGGAATGACCCTGTTAAAACTCTTCTTAAGATACATCATAAATGTACATGTTCTGCTCACGCGTCAAAGTTAAAGTTGCAGTTTCAAGACAAGAGACATGGTTATGGTTTTTTGGGGTTTTTTCTGGGGTAATCGGGGATAACTACACTGGGCCTGGGCGTCTGCTTGCGAAACCGATCCCGCTCCCTTTCCATCTGCCGGTATTCGGGATTCAAGCGCTTGATCCGCTTCCGCTCGCGATCCCGCTCCCGCATGATGAACTTCTGGCGCGCCTCCTCCTCGGGTGTCATCCACTGAAAGTACACAGAGAAACGAGACGAAAGTATCTACTATAAGAAATCTACTTGAAAACAATACAGGATAATCACAATAAAATCATAATATTTTTAAATTTAATTTAATTCTCCCCCTTTTCTCCTTCAGATACCGAAAGCTATAGCATCACCGCACCCATTACCGAGGAGCTTTTGCATCACACAGCCAAAATGGCTCGAATTTTGGCCCGCACCGATGGCCACCTGCTGATCTTGGGCCAGTCGGGTGGACGACATCTGGATGCCATTTACACGGTGGCCACTTTGCAGGAGGCCAAGGTGGTGACCTTGCAGGGAGGCTCCTCATACGACCTCTCAGAGTTCTTTAACGATCTCAAGCTGGCCATGCAGACGGCTGCCCTGGAGCAGCAGATGAGCTATCTGCTCATCGAGCACTGCTGGCTAAGCTATGTCACGGATATCCTGAAGCCCATCGAAGCACTGCTAGAGGGCAGCGAAATCTTGGAATTGTTTGGTGACGATCTGGAGGCAGTGGCCAGCACACTAAAGCAGGCGGCTCAGCTTGAGGGATACCAGGAGTCGCTGGGAACGTACTTTATGAAGCGTAAGTAAAGGAAGGGAATTCCAGGTAATAACAATAGTTGACAATTAATATTCCTAGGTGCCCGTGAGAACCTACACATCATTTTGGTGCTAGATCCAGTAGTGCCAGTGTACAGGACTACTTCAACACCTTTCCCGCCCTGCATCGGCAGATGGATCTCCTGTACGTAAGAGCCGAGTCCAGGGAAACCCTAGCCATGTTGCCTAAACAATTCATCGAACTCCTCAATGAATCTGTGGCCGGTGGAGGCAGTGGTCGTGGCAAGGTGCCCGTATGCAGCCACTTTGCAGACATGTCCGACGACCTGCCACCGGATCAAGCTTCCCAAAGGTTCCTCCAACTTATCCGGAGCTACTTCCACATGTACAGCAATGCAGCCAACGAGATCGATCAGAGATTGGGTAAGCTACAATTGGGTGTAGATAAGCTGGCCTCGGCTCATGCTCTGGTGGATACCCTAAAGTCCAATGCCGCTGCCCAGGAGCAGGCGCTCGGCGAGAAACGGCGGCTGGCCAACGATGCCCTAGAGATGATCTCGGCCACCATGAGGAATGCCAACGAGCAGAAGTCCAGCATGTTGGAGCTGAAGCAAGAGACCCAGAAGAGCAGCGAACAATTGAAGCTGCGGCAAAAGGAAATCCAACAGGAATTGGCCGAAGTGGAACCGATCCTGGCCGAGGCCAGCAATGCAGTGGGTCAGATCAAGTCCGAGGCCCTCAGCGAAATAAGATCCCTGAGAGCACCGCCCGAGCAGTGAGGGACATCTTGGAGGGCGTGCTCCGGCTGATGGGCATCAGAGACACTTCGTGGAACAGCATGAAAACCTTTCTGGCCAAGCGGGGCGTAAAAGAGGACATCAGGTCCTTGGATCCCGCTCGAATTAGTCCTGAAAACTGCGAGGCGGTGGAGAGATTGCTCCTCGCCAAGGGAGATTCCTACGAATCGAAGAACGCCAAACGTGCCTCGGCAGCCGCTGCTCCCTTGGCTGCCTGGGTACAGGCCAGTGTCCGCTACTCCAGAGTAATCCAGAGCATCAAGCCCCTCGAACGGGAGCAGAACGAGCTCCAGAAGAACCTGAACGCAGCCGAGGATGAGATGCAAGAACTGGCCAGCGGGCTGGACGATGTGGATAAGAGGGTTAAGCAGTTGTCTGCAAAATTGCAGACCTACACCCAGGAGGCAGCGGTGCTCGAGCTGAAACTCCAAGAGGCCAGCGGAACCTTGCAGGCAGCGGAGCTCCTGGTGGGTAAGCTGAGTGCGGAATATGCCACCTGGAGTGAACAGCTGGCGGAGCTAAAGAAGGCCCACAAAACTTTAGATGCAAAGACCCTATTGATAGCCATTGCTGTTAACTACTATGCGGGATTGGGTCTGGAACAGAGAAGGTGAGTGAATAAAGAGTTAAATCTAGGATTACATTATTTTTCCCGCTTAGCTCCTCCCTATACGCCTGGCCGTAGAATTTCGTCTGTCACCGGACTTCAATCTTCGGGAATCTCTGCTCACGGAACAGCAGCAAATCATCTGGGAGAGCCAGGGTTTAGCCCGGGATGCCCAGATAATAGAGAGCGCTGCCCTGCTGGGGGAGATGCTTCCCTACCCTATGGAGCCTGTCCCATTCCCCTGCTTCTGGATCCCACGCAAACGGCTGCCCAGTGGCTAATGGCTCATCTCAAGGGCAGTGGCAGAGCCTGCGAGATGACCACTCATGGCAATGAAAGGTTGGCCTATCAACTAGAGCTGGCTGTGCGCTTTGGAAAGACTCTACTTGTCACCGACTGTGAACAGCTGCGTCCGCCCATCCTGCAACTTCTGCAGGGTCACATTTACGTGCGATTTAATAAGAGACAACTAGCCATTGGTTCCAAGCTAGTGGATCTCCACGAGGCTTTCCAATTGGTGCTGATCAGTAAATCGCATCGCTTGGATCTACCCGAGGAGCAGAGAAGTCAACTTAATCTTCTGAGATTCACAGTAACTGCCGCTGGACTGGCCGATCAGCTAATGTCCAAGGCTATCGTTCTAAAGAATGCGGAGCTGAGCAACAGAGGATTGAGTTGCTGCAAAAGGAGGGAGATCTCCTGAAACAACGAATGGATATGCAGGATAAGCTGCTGGAGCAACTCTCGAAATCAGAGGGCGACATTCTGCGGAATGAACAGCTTTTGTCCACCTTGAATGAGGTGAAGCAGAGCAGCGCCCAGATCGATGAGGCTCTGAAGCAGAGCGGAAGGATTAAGGAGACTCTGCTATCCCAATTCGGTTCTTTAAGGGAACTCTGCGCCCGGGCTTCTTATTCTACGCCGGTCTCATACAAGGCTATGAGCTATCCGCTCTGGTTTTCATCGAACTCTTTCTGGGAGCACTCTCCAAAAACCAGCGGGAGGACGCCAAGGTGTACGAATTGCTGGTAAGGAGTGTCTACACGAACCTGGCCAGAGCTACGCCCAGGGACAGTCAGCTAGCCCTATCCCTGTGGGTCTGTCATCAGGCCTATCCCGACAAGTTGAACTCCAAGGAGTGGGAGCTGTTCGTAAACAACTTTATGGGCAGCTCGGATGGCAGCATGCTCCTAAGTCAGATGGGAAAACTACCCGATTGCATGACTAAGGAGGCGCAACTAAAGCTGGCCATGCTCCTACAATTGTTTCCGGATCTACGAGGCAAACTCCAGCTGGATAAGGACTACATCTGGCGGGGATTCATTGAGGCACAAGCTGATGACGTTCTGCGTATGTTAAGAGTAGCAGTTTAATTAATTAATTCTCCCTTATAGCATATCTATATTTACAGCTGCCCTGGGTTCGAGCTTCCAGCGCGTGCTCATTGCCCAGATCTTCAGGCCGGACTTGATGCTCCAACAACTGCGCCGAGTGAGCAGCGATTTACTGGGAATTTCACCTGATGCCTCAACCCAACCATCAGTGGAGCAATTGCTGCAGCAAAGCAGCTGTGACCGCCCCATTCTGATGATAAGCCAGGCCGAGAATGATCCCACCACCGAATTGAGAAAGTGGAGCAATCAAAAGTACAGGGAAATGGCCATTGGAAAGGGTTCCGAAAAGCGAGTTCTTGCAGAGGTGCGACAAGCCGCCATCGATGGCCACTGGTTGTGTGTGAAGAATGTTCACTTGGTGCCCGAATTCCTAACGCAAATGGAGAGGGAACTGAGTGAGATGCAAAAGACCAAAGAGTTCCGTTTGTGGTTGCTCTGCGAGTCCACAGAAGGTTTCTCCGAGTCAGCCATCTTTAAGTGCCTGAAGGTGCGATATGAACAGCCCAAGGGACTCAAGCAGATCGTGATGCGTTTGGTGCAGAATTACGCCGCCGAACAGGATCAGAGTGTAAGAAACCAGCCGAAAAGCCTCAAAATGCGCTTGGTGTATTTCATCCTAACGGCGGTCCTACAGCAACGGCGTCAATTCATACCCCAGGGTTGGTCCAAGTACTACGAATTCGGTGAGGCGGACCTTAAGGCTGCTCTGGGAATCCTCAAATGGCTGGATCCGCACCTCAATTCGGGCAAATGCGACTGGATTCTACTGCAGCGTCTGAGCGAGGCGTTGGCCTTTGGCGGACGCGTCAGCAATATGAGAGACTTGGAGATCTTGAGGAGCTATTTGAATCAGTTCTGCTGTGCCGAAGTTTTAAGCAATCGCTGGTCACCTCTCGGACTGTCATCCCTATCCATACCTACGAGTAACCAGCTGCAGGACTACTACGCAGCCTTGGAGAAGCTGCCCGACCAGGATGAGCCCAGTATGTACGGTTTGGCCAGTCAGGCGCAGCAGCAAAGGGAAATCGAGCAGGCCAAGAAAGTAATCAAGGAACTACGGAGCCTGCACTATGGCAGAGGAATGGATGGAAATGCTGGAGGTGAGGGAGAAACCCGGGCAGCAGCACACCACCTCATTACTGATCGTCAGAAGCTGGAGCAGCAAATTAAGCCCTTACTAAATCTGTGGAGGAAGCTGGCTGGCTCTTGTACCATAGCCCAGACGGTCAAGGAGGCAACAAGGGATGCTGGAGACTCGCCTTGGGCATTGTTTGTCCTCGCCGAGTTGAAAGTGGGCGCCGAACTCTACCGCACTGTGCACCAAACACTCTCCCAGATGCATGCCTGGCTCAAAGACTCCCAGGACACAGTGGACGCCAGCACTCTGAGGGCTCTGGCCGAGCAGCAGGTAAGTTTGAACGGAAAGAAAAAGGTTTATTTAATTAAAATTCATCAACTTAGATCCCCGCCATTTGGCTTAAATTGTGGTGTGGTCCGGGCAGCACCAGTGCCGTGGACTTTCTGAGAGCCCTTATAGTGCGAGCCCAGGCTGCCGAACAGCGTTTCCGGGAGCAAATCAGCCTGGATTTTGGAGATGAAATCAATCTGATCCATGTCTTTAACTGTGAGAACCTGTTGGCCTGCCTCAAATTGCTGCAATCTCGCAAGACGGGAGTTTCCTCCGAACGTCTGGAGCTTAAAACGTGTGGACTGGAAAATTCGGAAGCAGATTCCTCAACGGTAATCCTCAAGCTGGCCCCTCTAAAGGTGAGTTTGGAATTTTATAATCTTTAAAATTTTTATGCGGATTTATGGCATTGAAGATACTTTCAAATAGTGAAGGAATTAATAATTTAAATTGGTTTATAAGGTATAGATACATAGTTCGGATCACAAAGGCAGTAGTTTCTGAAGACAATTGGGAGTTTAATACCTTGATTGTTAAGTTTCAGAACGGGATTTCCAACTACACATAGGCTTATCACAACAATATCAAAGTATCTTCTTAGTTTAAAAAAGAATCTGTAAGCTACACACACATATAGCTTCCTCTTTAGTTTTTTTTGGGAAATAGGGAAACATGTCCCCCCGCCAGGCCCCTTTCACTGTCGCCCTGCCCCCGTCCCCCCCTAATTTCTCAACGCTCTGGCTTCTGTGCGTCGTCTCCTTCGTCTCTTTGTGTCTTACCTTCCCCATTTTAGCCATAAAGTGCGTCTCCATCCGGCCCTTGGTGCCTACTCCCTGTGACCCGAGTAGGTTATCCTCTTCCGGCTATCCTGTTCCGTTTACCGCATCGAAGGGAGTTGCGAAATTGGTTTCCTTCTGTCCTTTTCAGTTTTTCACGCCGCTTTTTTTTTTGTTTTCATTTGATTGACATTCCGGCACAGTAGCGCTGACACTATCTCGATATCGGTATATCGATTTATTAGCTCTGTCCGGCACTATCGATTGTTCCTGACCATCGAAGCTGTGCTATATATATATATTGTTTTAAATTTTCATTTCATTTGTGCAGGATATTGAAATTGTTCTTAAATGGAATATCTTAATATTCATTGTTTTTACTAAAAGATTATTCAAACGTGCCATTTAAAAAGTGAACAAGCTCTAATAGGTGGAAATCATGCTAATGGAAACATAGAAACATCGCTTGGTGAACAGTTTTGGTGGAAGACATGGCTTAAAAATGTTTATTCCATTTCAGATTGATGGCGCCAAGGTGGAATGGAAAATCCAAACCTTTTTCGTTGGCTACAAAATTAAAGAGCTGGCTGAGCAGGTGTCGTTGGGATCCTCGAAATATGGCAAAAATGCTCTATATCCTGCCCAAAGAAGCGAATCAAATCCAAAATTGCCGCTATACTCCCGCAGCAGTCGGGACAAATTAATTTGTCACCTCAATGTGGATATACTGGCAGGAACACCAGAGCAGATTCTTCTGGCTGGAACCGCGCTGATCGTCGAAGATTTTTAGATTTAATAATATACATATGTATTGGAAATATGTTTTAGGAATATACTCGAGAAGCAGATTTATTTATAATTGTATATTTATGTGTTTAATTTTACTTTAATTATTATAAAAACGAGAATTATAATAAAAAAAAATACCATAATATAGCTGCCTTATTTTTAATTTGAATTTAAATACACGGTAACTACCCGCCAAACAACATCTGCTAAATTGGTCTAAGTCTGGTTGAAGTCTGCGCTACTCCGATTAGTTCACAAACCTAGATGGCGATAGTAATGATTGGACCAGTCGCTTGCTGCTGCCTTTTGTTCGCTGGTACCCCAAATCGGGAAATGGACAATTTTCTCGGCGACATCTCACCAGCCACCACTGACGCCAATTTAGCTATTTTTGCTAAAGGTGGTATGTGTCCTGACTTAAACCAGTGATGCAAACTTTGCTATTTTCCACTTTTGGAAGGAAATCTCATCTAACTTGCCAGAAGAGATCCCCATCTCTCTATTTTGGATTGTTGGGAGAAAATGGAGGGATGGGAGATTATAGCCAATTGCCACAAGAATTGCAAAATACTTTAATCTTACATCTACCGCTACCTGGTGCTTTAAATCAAAATCTGCAACTTTTGTAATCGCCACCTATTGATAATTAATTAAACAAAGTTTACAACCAGCCTGAAAGTATGTTAGAATTTGGTTTTCTCCATTGTAGTGTCAAAAAATCCGCTTCAAAACTTTGTTAAGCTAACGCCATCGGCATCTGTAAAACAATAAGCACCTAAAACCATGTAGAACCATTTTTATTTAAAATGACTTTAATTTTACAATCGTTTTTATTATTATTAATATTATTATACCTAAAAATAATCTAGTTAATTTTAGATTACTTTCCCTCCACCGTAATTACCACTCCACAGATAATAAAAGTCAAAACAATGGCCTCGAACTGTGTTAACTGGAAAAAAAAAAAAAAAAAAAAAAAAAAAAAAAAAAAAAAAAAAAATGAATTAATCTGGAGAATTTACCTAAAAAATCAACATTATAAGAAAACATTAATTGCAAAATAACAATGTATGCAGATTTATAACGAATAAAACAACATGAACGCTTTCCGAATAAAATAATCGTTTTAGCTTACTTATGACTTTTTAAATTTGATTTGTCCGAAAAATGTCTTATAAAAAGTTCATGAATGTCGTCAAAAATGGGATTATACTTTCAGTCCGAAGCTTCAAATTCAGTGAAGGAGTCGTTTCCGACCCTATAAATCATATATATTCTTGATCAGGATCAACAGCGGAATCGTTCTAGCCATGTCCGGTTGAAAAATAAATTTTCAAATTTTTGCCATTTTTTGAAAAAACGTAAGGGTTACATCATTAAAATTGTCAAAAATTGATAAAAATGATTCTTTTAAAACTTTATATTTGGTATGCAGATTTATTAACTGAATAAAAACTAACATGGAAGCTTTCCGATTGAAATTAATGCTGTTTTGGCTTAGTTATGAATTTTTTAAACTTTGATTTTCCTAAAAAATTGTCTTATACAAATGTTTATGAATGTCGCCAAAGAATGGCATTAACATTTGGTCAAAAGTTTAACTGTATTTTGTATGCAGATTTATAAACAGAATCAAAACGAACATAGAACCGCTTTCCGAATTAAAATTAATGCTGTTTTAGCTTAGTTATGACTTTTTTAAATTTTATTTGTCCGAAAAATGTCTTATAAAAAGTTCATGAATGTCGTAAAAAATGGGATTATACTTTAGTCCGAAGCTTCAAATTCAGTGAAGGAGTCGTTTCCGACCCTATAAATCATATATATTCTTGATCAGGATCAACAGCGGAATCGTTCTAGCCATGTCCGGTTGAAAAATAAATTTTCACAATTTTTGCCATTTTTTGAAAAAACGATAAGGGGTTACATCATTAAAATTGTCAAAAATTGATAAAAATGATTCTTTTAAAACTTTATATTTGGTATGCAGATTTATTAACTGAATAAAACTAACATGGAATGCTTTCCGATTGAAATTAATGCTGTTTTGGCTTAGTTATGAATTTTTTAAACTTTGATTTTCCTAAAAATTGTCTTATACAAATGTTTATGAATGTCGCCAAAGAATGGCATTAACATTTGGTCAAAAGTTTAACTTATTTTGTATGCAGATTTATAAACAGAATCAAAACGAACATAGAACCGCTTTCCGAATTAAAATTAATGCTGTTTTAGCTTAGTTATGACTTTTTTAAATTTTGATTTGTCCGAAAAATGTCTTATAAAAAGTTCATGAATGTCGTAAAAAATGGGATTATACTTTAGTCCGAAGCTTCAAATTCAGTGAAGGAGTCGTTTCCGACCCTATAAATCATATATATTCTTGATCAGGATCAACAGCGGAATCGTTCTAGCCATGTCCGGTTGAAAAATAAATTTTCACAATTTTTGCCATTTTTTGAAAAAACGATAATAATCATTAAAATTGTCAAAAATTGATAAAAATTGATTCTTTTAAAACTTTATATTTGGTATGAGATTTATTAACTGAATAAAACTAACATGGAACGCTTTCCGATTTGAAATTAATGCTGTTTTGGCTTAGTTATGATTTTTTAACTTTGATTTTCCTAAAAAATTGTCTTATACAAATGTTTATGAATGTCGCCAAAGAATGGCATAACATTTGGTCAAAAGTTTAACTATATTTTGTATGCAGATTTATAAACAGAATCAAAACGAACATAGAACCGCTTTCCGAATAAAATTAATGCTGTTTAGCTTAGTTATGACTTTTTTAAATTTTGATTTGTCCGAAAAATGTCTTATAAAAAGTTCATGAATGTCGTCAAAAATGGGATTATACTTTAGTCCGAAGCTTCAAATTCAGTGAAGGAGTCGTTTCCGACCCTATAAATCATATATATTCTTGATCAGGATCAACAGCGGAATCGTTCTAGCCATGTCCGGTTGAAAAATAAATTTTCACAATTTTTGCCATTTTTTGAAAAAACGATAAGGGGTTACATCATTAAAATTGTCAAAAATTGATAAAAAATTGATTCTTTTAAAACTTATATTTGGTATGCAGATTTATTAACTGAATAAAAACTAACATGGGAACGCTTTCCGATTGAAATTAATGCTGTTTTGGCTTAGTTATGATTTTTTAAACTTTGATTTTCCTAAAAAATTGTCTTATACAAATGTTTATGAATGTCGCCAAAGAATGGCATTAACATTTGGTCAAAAGTTTAACTATATTTTGTATGCAGATTTATAAACAGAATCAAAACGAACATAGAACCGCTTTCCGAATTAAAATTAATGCTGTTTTAGCTTAGTTATGACTTTTTTAAATTTTGATTTGTCCGAAAAATGTCTTATAAAAAGTTCATGAATGTCGTCAAAAATGGGATTATACTTTAGTCCGAAGCTTCAAATTCAGTGAAGGAGTCGTTTCCGACCCTATAAATCATATATATTCTTGATCAGGATCAACAGCGGAATCGTTCTAGCCATGTCCGGTTGAAAAATAAATTTTCACAATTTTTGCCATTTTTTGAAAAAACGATAAGGGGTTACATCATAAAATGAAAAAAATGATCTAAATATTGGTAGCAGATTATTACTGATAAAACTAACATGAGCTTTCGATTGAAATTAATGCTTTTTTAGTTATTTTTTTATTTGATTTCCTAAAAATGTCTTATACAAATGTTATGAATGTCGAAAAATGGATTAACATGTAAATTAACTATTGTATCAAAAACAAATCAAAGAAATAGAATCCGAATAAATAATGGTTGCTATTATACTTAATTATGTCCGAAAATGTCTTAAAATTCATGAATGTCGAAAAGGAACTTCAAATTCAGTGAAGGAGTCGTTTCCGACCCTATAAATCATATATATTCTTGATCAGGATCAACAGCGGAATCGTTCTAGCCATGTCCGGTTGAAAAATAAATTTTCACAATTTTTGCCATTTTTTGAAAAAACGATAAGGGGTTACATCATTAAAATTGTCAAAAATTGATAAAAATTGATTCTTTTAAAACTTTATATTTGGTATGCAGATTTATTAACTGAATAAAACTAACATGGGAACGCTTTCCGATTGAAATTAATGCTGTTTTGGCTTAGTTATGAATTTTTTAAACTTTGATTTTCCTAAAAAATTGTCTTATACAAATGTTTATGAATGTCGCCAAAGAATGGCATTAACATTTGGTCAAAAGTTTAACTGTATTTTGTATGCAGATTTATAAACAGAATCAAAACGAACATAGAACCGCTTTCCGAATTAAAATTAATGCTGTTTTAGCTTAGTTATGACTTTTTAAATTTTGATTTGTCCGAAAAATGTCTTATAAAAAGTTCATGAATGTCGTCAAAAATGGGATTATACTTTCAGTCCGAAGCTT